ACAAGGAAGAGCTAAGTATAGACTAGCATTTAGTACTGATTTAAATGGCTCTTTCCAACATTAGTATTTAGACTGTTTATAGTTTGTGTGAAGGCCGTCTAAATGATAAACACTCCCATGGACTGAGACACCAATTATTTCCTGGCATTTCCAGCTCATGAGAAGTATTAAACCTACCATTAACAATTAAAATAAATTCCTGGGTCTGCTCAGCCTGCATTACTGGATAGTGTACCTATGAGGGATGATGTAAGATCTCTGTCCGTACAGCAGTAAGTTACTGCATATAAAAAGATTCAGCATACAGATAAAGTTTCCTTTAATCAGTAAAGCCTAGAGTTGTTTCTGTACCTGAAATGAACAGCTAAGCTACCTCCCATGCTTTGAATCAACTGAATGTACATCAAAAAGCCATTTCTCATTGCCAAACCAGAACTGACTTCAACTAATTAATTAACTATATTTCAAGTAATCAAGACAAAGGTGTGTTTCTAACTGTGTGTCTCAGGACAAGTAACAAGACTTGTCTTGGAACAGAGCGAGATCACACAGCTTCTAGTAAAATGAGCAGTCCTTTTTTTTTATATTTTCTAGCATTGCCATGGTTCATAGCATATCAGTTCTAAACAGATCTATGAAAACTGGGAATTAAGATGGAGAAATAAGATTGATCTCCAGATCTAGTGGGAAAGAAACCAAATCATTTGTAGATGTTGCAGTTCAGATTGCACTTCCTGGTTGGTTTTTTTTGTTTGCTTTCTGTTCTGAAATTTATTTCTACTTTTCTTCACTCTGTTCTTTACAGCTTAATTCATGAAAAAAGAACTGTTGTAATTTCAAAGAGGATTATGGCTAGGAAATGAAGTCAAATGACTGGGCAACGCACCAGACCCACTGTCAGTCCCCCTTAGGGCTAGGCTACAGATTCAAAAGCTTGCACAGAGGTCCAATTTGACCCAGAAAAAGCAATATGCTGACTACAGTACTCCTGGGCTGGCCATGTCTTGCACATTGACTTCATGGGTAGGAACTGCAGTAATGCTCATCAATGTTAAGGCAGTCCCTACGTAGAAGCGCACAGGACAGAGAGAAGAGGAAGCAAGATTGACTCTCATTAGAATGCAAGGTCCAAGAACAATTTAATCACAGAAACAATCACAGAATCATAGAACAGTCCAGGTTGGAAGTGATCTCAAAAGATCATCTGGTCCAACTTTTCGTGGGAAATGAAGCTTAGATGAGATTATCGAGCACCCTGTCCAATTGCATCTTGAATATCTCCAGTGATGGGGACTACCACATCCCTGGGGAAGTTGTTCCAGGGAATGATTTTTCCAACTGTAAAAAATTTCTTACTTGTATTGAGATGAAACCTTTCCTGATGCAACTTGTATCCATTGCCCCTTCTCTTTTTCCACATGGGTCCTTGTGAAGAGAGAGTCTTCATCCTTTTTGTAGCCACTCTTTAAGTACTAGAATCCTGTGATGAGGTTACCCCCTCAGCGTTCTCTTCTCCAGGGAGAAAAGCCCAAGCGCCTTCAGTCTTTCCTCACAGGGCAGATTCTCCAGCCCTTTGGTCATCTTTGTGCCTCCTCTCCGTACTCTGGACCCTCTCTAGTTTGTCTACATCTTCCTTGAATTGTGGGGACCAAAACTGGATACAGTACTCCAGATGCAGCCCGAGAGCACTAAGTGGGATGATCACATCTTTATCTTGGCTAGTAATGTCCCTGCAGATGCAGCCCAGAATCCGATTTGTCTTTGTTGCTGCAGCGGCACACTGCTGACTCATGTTCAGCTCATTGTCCACCAGGACTCCAGGTCCCTTTCCACAAGGCTGCTCCCCAGCTACACAGATCCTA